GCCCAGGACCACAGAGGGAGAGGCTCCAAGGCCAATCCCATGGGGGCTGGAGAGATGAGGGTCTAGGTATTGGCAGTGCATGAGAATCTAACACACAGCTATAGCTGATGAGCTTCACGGTGAAATCAGAGATTATACAGGCAATGGAAGCAAAACACAAGAATTTAAAGGAAATGGGTCTCATAGTTGTATCTTCCAAAACAAAGCCAAGATAAAGACTGCTTCAGGCACACAGAGGAGTGGATGATTCTGCCCCAGCAAAGTGGCACTGCAGGAAATGCTGAAGAAAGTCGTTCAGGCAGAAACTGATTTGAGACTCGACAGAAACCAGGACTCCACACAGAGCAGAGAAGAGTACAGGGAATGGTGAAAATACGTATGTGTGACTGTAAAGTACATTTCCTAATTTAAAACAAAGTTACTGATTAAAAATAGTAGAAATGGACTGTGAAGTTCCTGACACATGAAAGCATGTGCATGACAATTGTACAGAAGCCCAGAGGAGAACCCTGGCGAGTACTCTTGGGCATCGTACGCTGCACAGGAAGCACCAGTGCGTAGTCTGAAGCCAGACAAGCAGAGCAAACTCTGTCCCCAGAGCCCGTGAAGCAGTCTCACAAACCACTCTGCCCCTGAGGAGGAAAGACTATCGTGCTGTGCCGGGGGTTGGGGTGGTGCGAGTCTTGGGCAAGGTGACATAGGAAGGTAAAGGGCAGAGGGCAGGGATGCTGCTAATCTGTTTCCTAACCCCGTTCACTTTGTGAAAATTGCCAATTGTGCATTTTCCTGTATCTATGACTGAATCACAAATGTGAAACATTTTACCCCATTCTTTACATTGGTAACTTGGAATCTTGTCAGGGAAGGGGCAGCATTCCAGATAAGAGTCCTGGGAGGAAATGCTCCTGGGGTACATGTGCTACACAAATCTCAGAAATGCTCTACTCAGAGCTCCACAGGCCAGAAGTCCAGCACCAGGAGCTGGCAGCCAGTGTGTGATCAGTGCCAGTCTCCACCCCAGGACTACACCTTCCTGGGCACCCTCTTGAGGAGGAAGGGAAGGCAGCAGGTGCTCCCTGGAGCCTGGAGAATTCTTCCCTGACACCAACCCTACTCCTGGGGCCCACCTCGGGACTTCATCTCCTCCCCAGAGACCACGCCTCTTGAGGATGCTGGAGGATGCTGCCGGGAGGATGCTGCTTTCCGCCTGACAAGAGGCCATCATCTAACCGCTGCAATTCCCCAGTGAAACCGTCCACTTTGCCTCTTCAGCCGTCTGTCTGCTGGCCTATTTACTGCAGCGAACCTGAGAGAGGCCCGTAATACGATAACCCTGTCAATGCCTCTGAACATCACCAAACAGCACCAAAACACCTGGACCTGAGACTTCCCCAAAGTAATGCAGGCAGCAGCAGCAGACCCAAGAAACAGGGCGGCCAGAGAACCACAGGCCTCTGGGCTCCGTGGAGCGTCGGCTCCCGCTTGGCCACATCAAGGGCGGCGTCACCACTGGGTCCTGTGAGCCCCATCTCTGGGGCACCACGGAAGCTTCACAGCTTTTATATGAGCTTCACATTTTTAAATTATAATGACATGGGTACATACTGAATCAAAACATTCCTTAAAATAATGCATGTGCTTCTATAAAATACAAATAGCATTAATAGCATTTCTCTTCTATAAATACAATGCTTAAACAGTCTTGCCTATATCAGAAATTGGAAAAAGTGTCTCCCAGGGTTGTTTATATGTTAATTAAATATAGTGTGATAATTACACACTGCAGATACAGATGAGTATTTACATATTAATGAGATCTTGACTGGCAAAGACACTGTGACACCAAAAAGAATTCTAGGGACAGCTTCTCTGAGGAATTCAAAATCAGAGATATTACTTCTATGCAAGGATCACATGTTCTGAAATCACTGGTCCAAGTATTTGAAGTTCAGAAGTAAATGAGTAACAAGAGAAAAACCTCATCTCTGTGAAAAGTATATAATTTTATATCACTCAATAATGCTGAATCCAGTAATAGCATCTTTTACAGGAACACATAGAGAGGGAAAAAAGAAAACGAAAGAGGGAGAAAGGGAAGGGAAAGGAAGGAGGGAGGAAAGATGGAACTGCTCAGACTTTTAAATTTCAAATAAATACAGAATCATTAGAAAACATTTCAAAGCATTTCAAGTTACATCCACACTACAACAGTAAAGCAATAATTAAAATCAATTTTTTTTTTTTTTTTTTTGGTACCAGGGATCGAACTCGGGATCCTACACTTTCGAGGCAGGTGGCAGAACCACTGAACTAAATCCCCGGCCCTAAAATCAATTATTAAAATAATTCCCTCTGACGACTGTTGCACAAGCGCAAGGTCCCGAGTTCGATCCCCAGTACCAAATAATAATAATAATAATAATAATAATTCCCTATTCCAGGACACACTTCACTAATGCCTCTCAAATGCTCTGCCCTAAGAGCAAGACGATCCCTTTTATACCTACTTCAAGAACACACTGCGGAAACTATATGTGAAACATAAAATTAGATTGTAAACTGGAAGGCAAATGTTATACACTCGGTCCTGAAATGGTGACTGAATAAAAGAAAGTGAATGAATTACTCAGTATACCTTCCTTTCTTTAGTCCTTAGGGTTCAGACATCTGACAAATAGTAGTGTCAACATATTTCCAAAGCCCAAGTGCTCTCTGCTGCACAGTTAGTCTGGGGTTGAAGGTGGGCATTTCTTAAGATGGAACAAGGAGAAAGGCAGAAACAAAAATGACTTACTAACCTGTGAAAAGGGCCATGCTAAAAGGATCAACAAAGAACGATAAGAGCACAAGAAAAAGAATAACTCGGGAGAGACCTCACAGAAGACGTTATTACACCTAAAGCATTAACTGTGGCTGTTTTTCAATAATCTAAACTGTAAGAGGGTGGACGCATTACCATTAAATCCTATTGTTCTTTCTCACTTCCTCCAAAAGAGAAAAAAAAAACTCAGCATGAAAGACTTTCTTGAGAAACAATGATTAACAAAAACAACAAAAAGCCCCTTATTTTCCTCAATAGATTTAAAAATACATATAACTTAAAGACTCAGATAAAATCAGAGACTTAAAGTTTTTCTAAAAGTCATACCCCAAAACAATGGTTTAATAGCTTCATCTTCTAAAACACTTTGCTGAGAGACCGGACAGCTGAAGCACTCACTGTAATTTAAACAGATCCCTAGAGCAGGTACCCTTAAAAACCACAAGGTATTCAAAGACAGTACAGCATCAGACATTGGGAAACTATTTCCAAACCAATTCTGGAATTTCAGGTTAAAGTGAAATGTTCAAGCAATCATCAGAAAACAATAAATATAAATGCATTCAAATCTAAGGAGAAACCACCTCTGAAAAGCACTTTGTGAAACAGTAGCCTTTTTCTGTAGATTAGCAATTTAGTTGAAAAAGTCATCTGTATTCAGATTAGATCTATTCTGCAAGAAGCCAGAGAACAATAGACAATTTTATTCTGAAACATATTCTTACAAAATATATTTACATATCACAAATCTAAAATTATTTAAAAATGAAAAAAGTATCTCACAATTTTTCTTCACTTTTATCAGAAGATTTACTTTTTTAGTACTAATAATAATGAAAAATAAGAAAGGTGTAACATATATTTAGAGCATACTGACTCACAACATTAAATAAACGTAAGTTCCAATCCTGGCTTCACATATATATATATATACTTCTGTAGATCCAGCTTTCTAGAATAGCAGGGATAATAGAAAATTATTTGGAAACCAGATATAAATATGTGTCAATACATGGCAATTCTCTATGTACACTGTTCATCATCAACACCTGATCCTAAAAGTGTATCAGGTGGGGGAAGCAAGGTAAGAATGAGGGAGTCAGATGAACCCGAGTTCCAACAGCACCTGGAGTACCTGTGTCTCCAGGGCCAGAGCTGGCAGCAGCGATTGCCAATGCAACTGTCGCAAGCCTTAGAGCCCTGCCGTCACAGCAGATTTCACAAGCACCCATTTTTCCTGTCACTAAAACTATGCAAGGTGCGCAAGCAAGAGAGGAACTGCCAACACACTTTAAAGAAGAGTGAAACTCAAAATCAGAAGAGACAAATCACGCAGTTGACAAGGGAGCCCATTTACCAGTGGGCGCTTGCTCACTGTGTGCAGAAGGTCTCATCGGTGGGTGCTGTCACTCCTGCTTTCTACCTCTAGCTAATAACTGACCTATGAGAAGTATGGTCTGCACACCTCTCTTCTCCTGAGGGCCCTTTGGGCCTGGGACAAACGGCCTCCCCATTTCTCAGCTATGCAACGGGGCAAACATATTCTCCTTGCTGATGTTCCAGCCTCCAGAACACCAAAGGGGAAATACTGGGGCGTGATGTCTACACAGACTGTCATGTGCTACAACCCAATTATCACATAGTCTTGAGGTGAAAAAAAGAATTGGTCTAATAGTAAGTGGTGTTTCCATTTCCCATTTGTCTTTGTGTCTCTGGAATTTCAAAAGGAAAAAGGCTGCTGCGCACTGCAGGATGTGGACATACTGGGTCCCTAACACTGTTGGAACTGCAGTTCAATTTCTAAGACACAACTCATTCAAACAGACACTGTTCAACTGCTGCTGACCAGAAAACAGTATATACCGAATAGACAGCAGGAAAATCAGGAGGCTTTCAAAAGAATAGTTTTTGTTCACTAAGTCCAGGTGATTCTGCTAGGATAAATAGATTTTCACTTCAGGATTTTTTTTTTTTTTTTTTGGTACTGGGGACCAAACTCGGGACCTTGCAACCCTGGCCCAGCTTCAGGATTATTTAAAAAATAAATTGAAAATAATTATATTTCTGGGGGAAAAAATTAAATAGATCATGTTAATACTATTGGTTTTTTTTAATTTAAGGTGTTCAGCATGAAACAAAGAATTTCTATAATTTCAAAAGAAGGTAAACAGCCACATACCATGCTTCAGGCAGCAACGCAGAGTACTGGTGTGGGGAAGTGGTTTCTGGGAAGTTGGAGAGAATCGCTAGGCGATGAGGAAGAAGGTCAGAGCCGTGGTAAGTGAACAGAATCTCCAGGGCTGCCACATTACTTTCCTGTACAAGAAGCAACACAAACGTCAAAAATACCGGGGCAAGCCTGCGTGACAACATTCAAAACCCTACTTTTTATGCACTTCCAATATGACATACTTTGAAATAGTCCTGATTTTGTCTTAGCTTATATGGTTTCAATCTAAGACTACAAAAATGTAAAAACTCTGAGTGATGAATAAAATCTTTAAAAATGTAACTCCGTTTTCTCCACATTTCTTAGTATGACAACAGAAAAGGCAGTGCAACAGTACATGCGTGCAGTAACACGGACTGCACAGCTCCAAGATTCGGAGAGCGTTAATAACCATAATTATTCTGTTTACAAAAAAGAAATTACCCGAGCATAAATTCTTGCTGAGAGAACAATATTCTGCCTCCTGAATGTCTTAAAGAATTCAGCATCGTATCTCTGCTCAGAGGCATGAGGCACTCCTAGGATTTCCTGAGGGGAAACAGAGATATAATGAATAGACTTTTAAATATGGGTGACAAGAAAATATTAAAAACTTTAACAACTATGCCTGTGGAAATAAATAAGGTCTGAGTTAATTCATTTCAACTATCAATTATAAAGTACTACAGCTGCACTCTTGCCTTCATTTTATAAAGGGCCATATTTATAAGTGCTATTAATTTTTTCAAATTCAGAAGTAAATGAAATAGGCAGTGGAAATTAATTACAGTAGGATAGCCGACACCAACTGCCTTGTAGAAACAAATAAGCGACAGCTATTCGAGGCCATGCATTACAAGCACCTATCACCTCTCCACGAGAAGTTCTGGTTAATTTTACGTAATTTCAATTGCTGCAAGATGCAGATGAGCCACCTGTTCATCCCTCAAGTATGCAGCAGTGTCCACTATGTTCAAGGGACACAGTGACAGGTGCTGGCAACTCCCTGAATGATGTATTTTCCCTCCCTTCCTTCCAAGCAGCTTAAAATCCAGGAGGGGAATGAACTAACTGTTAAAAAAAATTGTTTTTAAAGGAGAAGAGCCTTTGCTAGAAATGATGTCATTGTAGTTATTTTTTTAAATCCTCATCAGTTAGAGATACATACTTCAGTGTTTATGGGTAAAATTATAGGATTTCTAGGATTTACTTTAAAATAAGTGAAAGAAAAGATGGAAGTGGAAAGTTGAGGAATGAAAGATAAGATTAGGAAAATGTTGAAAATCACTCAAGCTGAGAATGAGTACATCAGAGGTTATCAGGTTGTTTTCTACACTTTTAAGAATCCTTGGAAGATTTTACTATAAAAAGCTAAAAACCAGTGATGCAACAACAAAACTCAGATCAATACTTGACCCTGATCCTCAGGATTGCATCTTCCCAGGAGGCCTCCTTCACTGTCTCTCTTGTGAGCTCCTTCTGCACAATGCTTTCAGGTTTTCAGACCTCTGATGTCCTGTTCCCCAAGCTGCAGTCTCATCTGAAAACCTGGCTTTTCTATGCTCTGAGCAGCCCCCGGGTGGCCGCCCACCATAGTGGCAAAGCTGCCTGCACAGCACCTGCACTCACACCTGCTCCCATACCGCTGCCTGCGCCTGCACCTGCACCCGCACCTGCGCCTCCCTGCTCTTCCTCCCTTCCAATACAGCACAAGGAAGCATCTCTGCTTCTAGAGATGTCTCCAACTTCCATCCATGCTCTCCATTTTTATTCCATTTCTTTTTTCTTTTTTGTTTTCTGAGACAGGGTCAGGCTGGGCTCAAACTCTCAGTGATCCTCCTGCCACAGCCTCCAGAGTGCTGGGATTACAGGCATGCACCACCATGCCAGACTCTGTCTTCCGTTTCTATAATTCTGTTAAGCATCCCTTTGTTCTAAATTCCTCCTTGCCCTCTACTGGTTCATCTCCATTAGTACATGAACAATTCTTCTATCGAAACAACCCGAAAGCTGAACCTGCACCTGCCACCCTGTCTCCTCTGCCCCTTCACAGTAACAGTTCTTGAAAGAGCTGCTCACAAGCACTCTCTCCATTTCCACGTCCACTCTTTCTCCAACTCACTGACCCTCTTACAAAATTCAACCGGATCCCTTACTCAGGATGAGACCTGCACAAAAGCAACCACAGACTCTCCTTGCCACAGCTCCAGCCCTGGTTCTGGGCCTCACCCTGAGGCCCAGACACCCCAACTCTTCTTTCATGGCTCTGGCCCTTCCCTGACCAGAGATCGGATGTTAGTTCCTCCTCCTATTTATTTGGACAAACTCTCCACCTTCTCTAAGCATCAGCTTCCCAGTCCATAAAACTGAAAGGATAACAGTAACTGCCTCAAAGGACTGCTGGGAAATAACCCAGGCCAAGGCCATGAGACAACAGCTGAGAGGCCCAAGGAGTGCCTGACAAATGCGCTGAATGGTTAAACTTTTAAACAATTTACTGCACTGAAAGACACATTTTCAAAAACAATGGGGTAAGTGTGTTTATGACGAGGGGGAGCATTCTGAAAGAATTAATGATACCATATATCTTTTACGACACTAAATTTTTTTAATGTAGGCCTTCACTGTATTTTATGATCACACCTTGTGGATCAAACATTTGTGGCAATTTCGGTCAAATAAACACATGACAGTGTATCTTCATCCACCTTAGTCACCGGATCTGGCACTGCGCAACTTCCAGCTCTTTCCCAGTGTCCAAGTGACCATGAAAGGAAAACGTTTTGAATGCATTCAGGACATGGAGGCAGCCGGGACAGTGCAACTGAAGACCTCAGGAAAGAGGACTCCAGAGCTGCTGCAAAAAGGGGCAAGGACCATGGTATCAATGTGTTAAAAACAATGGGGAGGGAAGGGCTGAGAGGGATTCCTATCAATGTGTCTTATTGTGACAATTTTTTTAATATTTACCATAATTTTTATCATATCATGTAACAGCTAAGAGTCCTCAACAAAAGTGTGGATATTTCTTTAATAAATGGTTCCTTCAACAAGTATGTTCTGCTTTCCACCAATGAGGCTTGTAACACTCGGAGCTCTGGGCCACAGGAGCAGAGAGGATTGAAGCCCGAAGTTAGGGGAATTCCTTACAGAGCCTCTAGCCTGAAATCTTTGCTGCCTTGAGGACGAGCTGCAAGGGGACTTGCTACACAGCGACTTCTCAAACACTCCCAAGGGATGTTCTTTTCTACTGCATTCCTTCATCAACTCTTCGTATTTTCCCCTGGTCACTCACTTGCTGTATAAAGTAGACTATAAAGTGTCCTTAAGCATCCCTCTGCCAGGTGAAATGGTATGATATGCTGCATAGAGTCAGCACTCATGTAAATCTACATGAACTCATGTTTACCTCCTTGCTCATAGAAGTAATAAAATAAGCCATGCTCTGTGAGGAAAATGCAATGTGCATTTCCATCACTGTCTAAGTAGTTAGCCATTCTAACTGAGCATTTTCATCACAACATTTTAACAGCCACATCCATTCCAAATCATCAATTTTTCAAATTTTTTAAAATTTCCTTGAGAAAAATAGCTTCACCAAATACTTTAAATGTCACTATTATAGTGTAATAACAAATGTACTTACTATAGCCATGTGGGGAACAGCAATCAATAAACCAACACGAAGTATAAAAATAATAATCTGTGGGGCTGGGGATTTAGCTCAGTGGTTCCGCTGCCTGCCTTGCAAGCAGAAGGTCCCGAGTTCGATCCCTGGTACTCAAAAAAAACCACTATCATCTTAGGGCCAGGGATTCAGCTCAGTGGTTCCACCGCCTGCCTCACAAGCACAAGGTCCCAAGTTCAATCCCCAGTACCAAAAATAAAATAATAATAATAATCTGTGTCTATGCAGATTTCTACAGTTCACGGCATGCTTAGTAGTAGATACTATCTCAGACTATGACAGAATACAGACTGTTAGGAGACAGGCATAAAGTGATATCACCATCCAACAGCTGAAACAGTTGTACCTGCAAATAAAATTAGCAGGAATTTTTCCTAACTTCCTTGCATTGAGCAATATATATTACCAGTGTTTTTTAATAACTACAGTAATAACACTCTTTTAGGGTTTTGTTGGAAAACATTAGCAGGGCAGGGGAATCCTGATCAGAGTTCTAAATGTCTCTTATTCTCAGCATGAGCACCACACGATAGAGGTGGCACCTACTGAGCGTCTACTGAGCGTCTACTGAGTGTCTACTGAGCGTCTACTGAGCTCCTACTGAGTGCCCACTGAGTGCCTACAGGCCTGTGCACTGGCGCCAGGTGCCACGCATGCTCTGCCCCTAGCAAGAGGTGCAGCACAGCCTGGCTGCGGAGATGACATCCAAGCAAAGCCAAGCATAATATTTAGAAACTTATGTCACAGCCTGGAGCGTCATATGAAAAGAGCAATCCACGCTGTGTGCATTCCCTGACATGTGGCTCCTTTCCACCCCTACATCTAGCAGCGCCTAGACTGCTCTGACGCCACAGAATGTCCACCATGGGATGTTTGTGCTGTATCCCTGAGGATCCTAATACAAAGCACGCTGCTCAAGTTCAAGCGTGGCCATGCTACCAAACCATTAGGGTAAAACAAGTGAGAAACTTGCATGTGAAGACTGTTAAAGCTCACTGTGTACTAAAATTAGTACTGAAGGAACTGTGGGCCAGCACCTTAAAATGAAAATATAAAATAAAAGCAAATGAAAAGGATTATAAATCTAAAGCACACAGATGCACTAAAATGGGTAAACCCTTTTTATTCCCTAACCTCACAAAACAACTTCTTGAGTTTCAATCTCAAATTTTTGTAACTAGTACCAAAAGAAGCTGCTTCTGTAAAAAATTAATTTTCCCCACATAAACAGCATTAAAGATCGAGAATATAAGATATTAGGGTAGCCAATACAGCTCTGTTTATAGTAACAGACCAAATGGAGACACTGATCGGATTAAAATCACTCCTTACCTTGTATGTTGCAAGTCGATCTAAGTAAGTCAGTAACTTCAGTCTACAACGGCAAAGTTCCTTCTGTTCCAGGGTCAACCTGTTTGAATAAGCATATTAGGCCACTTACATTTACACAGATGTACATTTCTCTAGGAGTTAAAAGTAGAGGGAAACAGTTACTTTTCCAGACAGCCCACAATTCTGAGAACAGGAGACAAAAGCACAAGGGTAAAACAATACTTCATGCATTTCAGTTCCTGAAATAAGTTACAGTGGTCATCACTGGAAAAGAACGTACTGAAATGACTATTTTATTTTTTTATTCTTTTATTGGTACATTTTAGGTCTACAGTACGTTTACATTCATCATTGGGTGCTTGTACCTGAACATGATGTATCTCGGTTATTTTTTCCCCAGTCCCTGTGCGCCCTTCCCCCTCTCCACCCTTCCCTATTTACAAAGACTTTATTTCCATTTTTTCCATTTCTCATCATTTTTCCTTTCCCTCCTTTCCTTTCCCCTTCCCCTCCCACCACCCCTACCCCTTTGGAACTTTGAATAAGAAATTACTATTTTAGAGAAATTGCAAGTTAGCAGTAAGAGGTGGCTTACTCTGAGAAGTTTACAAGCTTAAGTAGTTCATGTCTCCTCCCGAGTGCCTTCTCCTTCTGCCTCCTGGTGAGCTCCTCCAAGGGTGCTGAGAGCTCCTCATAGGGGACACCATCGATGTCCACGTCACCGGGCAGGGTAAACCTGCGGAGCAAAAGAAAACTCAAATCTACTCTGCGGTTACTTTTTTTAATTTCACATCATGAAAAGTTGCTTTCTCCTATTTTGAGTGATTTCATTGCTAACTTACCTTCCAGCTAATTATTACTAGCTAACTGTAAAGCTAACTGTTAATTCGCTTTCTAGCTAATCGTTTTTTTTGTTTTCTTTTTTAGTTTTTGCCATGGCAAGCAAAAATGATTCATTCATTAAATCCATGGTATAGATAGGGAAAAGTCATCCATAATGATCATAGAGATTTTTAAGTCAAGAAATGCAAACTATTAAGGAAAACACAGAGGGCTGTCTGCACCAATACAGTAAGGCAGCCCGCACGGACAATGCTGCCGACAGAGCTCGCAATTTAAATCACTCCCATTTACGATATTGAAATGGTAGCAAATTCTGGCCTCCAAAAGTCATTCACTCCTCAGATACACGATCATTCACGCAGCAAATATCTGCTGACATTCAGGGCTGCTTTTGAGACACTGGCTCTCGTCAAATAACCATACTGCTATTAGTATTATGACTGCACACGAATGGGGCTCAGAAGCTTAGGTGGTGCTTTTGTGCTACATAGAATGTAGTCACAAAGGTGCCTCCAGGTGAGCAGAAGCCTCGAATGCAGGCCAGCCTGAGGTGGTCCACTCGGCAACAGGCCAGACCCGCTTGGTGTCCTCAGCCTGATGGCCCCGCTTCGGCCAGCAATGGTAGAACCCGTGTCTCTGCAGCATCAAACCCCACATGTGAACAAGCTAGCATAAAGGGTAAAAATCTATTCCCTGAGATCATACAGGACTGACCGGGGCAGCTGCCTCCATATGGAGGAACCCCAAGTTTACCCCTGCAGCCCCCGAGCCTGTAACCGCATGGAGCACCCTGGCTTCCCCTCACCAACCTGCTGGTGTGCACTCCTCTCTGCAGGGCAAGGAGGGCCTCCAGGTCTGTGCCTTTTAAACCATACTGCAGCAGCTCTTTGGCTGCCTCCACATTTTCAGGAACTCTCTCCAAACACTCATGGAGCACCCAGGATCGCTTCTTTATTTTACTCTTCATAAAAGGAAAATAAAAGCAGAGATATTAAAGCACCAGAGGCATCCTGCAGCACCTGACACCTGCTGTCCAGAAGGACGAAGCTGTCCCTGAGGTAGCTAGTGCATCACAAGCTGTCAACATCTTCCCGAGCCCAACAGTCTGTTTAATCATATCCCTAATCTTCACAGCCACCAAATACCAGGTCTGGCAAACCAGCTGACTTACAGAGCTCATCTGTCAATGAAATGTTTACTGTGCACCTACTATGTGCCAGGCACTGAATCACACAAGAGTGTACAACAGTGCATAAAATGGATTTGGTGGCTGCCACATGAGTCATGCACATCGTCTCTGAATTTGTTTGTATCATTCATCCTCTTGGTTTTGTCTTTTTCTTCTTTTTTGAGGGGAGGGGGTCATTTGATTGTTTTTTAAGACACAGGCTCACTATGTAGCCCAGGCTGGCCTCAAATTCCTGGCAACCCTCTTGCTTCAGCCTCCCGAGCTGTGCACCACCACGCCCAGCCCTCTGTTCTCTTAAGAATGCTTTCCTAGGGCCAGGGATTTAGCTCAGTGGTTTCGCCACCTGCTGCACAAGCGCAAGGACCTGAGTTCAATCCCCAGTACAAAAAAAAAAAAAAAAAAAAAATGCTTTCCTCTATGAATGCACATATAAACAGCATAGACAGATCCCAAATAAACCGCCTGATGATCATCTCAAGGTCCCAGAAAGACAATAATAACCCAAATCTGGAACTAACAGAAGGAAAGAAAGAACACAGATCTGAGTAGAAATTGATGAAACTGGGACTAAGAGTAGTGCAGAGGATCAATGAAGGAGAGCGGCTGAGAGGCGGTTCTGCGGGTGGCGAGGCGGGGCGGGGTGGGGGCGGTGAGCAGGCTGACACTCAGGGTGTGTGCTCCTGTCCCGCACGGTGCACGTCTCCACCACAGATCACAAACACACACCGATAAAGGGGGTCCTGCTCTGCTGCAGCGGGGGACGCCTCACTCTGATCTGAGATTACCATCTGAAACGTCCACACTGCACAAAGCCTTCCCTCCACACTGCCTGGGTCCACGGTGATCGCTACTTTACTAGGCTCCTAGGGCTTCATCTGAAATCTTCCTGCATGGTTATGCACACTAAGTATGAAGTCTGCCTCCTCGGGAAGATTTTCAGCTCTTCCACGGCGAGGGCTACACTTACGTCTCTCCTATAACTCTTTACAGTCACTAGCACGCTGCTCTTACTCCTAACTGCCTATTTATCTCTCTGAATTAAATACATTCCCAATTAAAACTCTTCCTTGGTTTGTCTCTCATGGCAGCTCTCACAGCTCCTTCAGGAGCCCAAACAGCATCTACTCTGTTTCAGAAAATGCCTCTAAATGAAAAGACATGCACTTTAGGAGCTCACTGTCCTAATCCTAAAAGTAAAAAATGAAAAGATAATGCAGGTTTGGCGTTTGATTTCTGAAGCAAATACCAGCAACTCTGTCTTCTCCCTTTGCCCATCACCTCTCATGCTCTCTCCTCTCTGGTATTAAACAACAGCTGACCATCCTATTTGGATGAATCATCAACTTCTTACAAATAACCTTTCGATCATGTTGTTTAATTATGAATATAAACTTTCAGGGAATATAACTGTCAAGAATTTTCCCCACATCATAGCCTCTTTATATAGGCAAAGGCTTTCTAAACGTCAGATCAGCAGGCACAGCCCTTTAAGGGTGCACCATCCGTCCAACCTCATCCTTATAGAGACGTCAAGAGTCAGAACACACGGGCCAGTGGGGAACTGACTGTCAACCCAAAACCCCTGCGTCGGACCCTGAACTCTCGTATGGTGGTTTTCGGAGTGGTGGCTTTGAGGTAACTAGGCCACAAGACCTCAGCCCTCGTGATAGGACTGGTGCCCGAAAGAGACTAAGAAGGGGCTGTTCCTCCTCTCTGCTCTCCACCATATGTGAAACAGCACAAACGGATTCATCTGCAAACCTGGAAGACAAGGAGCAAACTGGCAGACACCTTGCGGGTGAACTCACCCACCTGCACTGGAGTCCCATAAGCCATTTCTGTGACCTCCGTGTTACAGCAGCCCCAACTAAGTTGAAGCTATATGACAATTTTAACAAAGGAGGCCAGTGCCAGAGAGGACCCCGCCGTAGGATTTCACCAAAAGGAGTCCTCGGCAAGTCTGCTCTGTGGCTCATCTGTCTATTACTGCTCAGCTCCAAATGCTCTGCCTTCCAAGCAGCTGCAGTGTTTCTCATCTGCAGCTAAGCTTGGTCAGCAGAGGGCACTGCAGCCGCTACAAGGCCTGGAGTGTCCAGTGCTGACATCTCTGCTTCTTTTCTTCCTCTCCTCTGGCTTGCAGGCAGCAAGGCCCAGGGAACATGCTCATGTACATACAGAGTGACACCTGCTTCCCCTTTCTCCCAGTCACGATTTTCCAGAGCCTGGGGTCGCCCTCGGGCAGATTCCTTACTGGCCAGGCAGTGAGGTGGAGTCTGTCCTGCCAGCCCTGGCCATGGCTCCTTCCGACCTGAGCCTGTGCTACGGCCGGGGTTCCTGCTCACCATCCCTGGGGTTTCCTCACACACAGCCTCTGCTCACAGTATCCTAGCAGTAGATACCTCGCTACGCTACCCCTCTCCGGCTGCCAACTGTGGACTGGGCCTGGGTGGAGAAAACTCCGACATGTCTCTAACATTCGCTGCACTGCCACTGTTCCGAGTCCAGCAGCTTGCGCGTCCCAGCTGAGGGAAAAGGCCTCCCTTCCCATGCGCTCCCTCCAGGGGTGAGTTCCTTCAGCTCAGTGTCTCCTTAGGTACTCTTTACTCCTTTGCAGTTCACTGCTGGTTCATAGAAAATACATCTCATCAAGAAGTCTACCTGTGGCTCCTGAGTAGACCCTGACTAATGTGGATGAAGTGGGGTAACTGGCACAGTGGGGGCAAGGACCCAGCCAAGATCAGTCTGTCGGTGACTATTTGTTCCAACAGCTTCAGCAGCAAAGTCCAGCTGCAGAGCAATAGGTCCTGACAAGAGCATTTTCCCAAGTGAGAAAAATGTTCCGGCACCTGTGGAAAAGCCAGCAACATAGAATGCTTTACAACAGAACCCAAGCCAAAAGACATCACGTTACCAGGTAATTCTGAATGGAGGCAATGTTGACAGCTGACTTTCTCCACTGCCTCTGATAGACGAGGTCCGTATCCAGGCCATAGGTGTGAGCCAAAGACAAGGCTTCCTCGTACTCTTCGCTTTCAATCTTTAGACAAGAAAATGCACACAGGAGTGTTACATGGCTGAATTACCCACGAGCCACCACTGAGAGGACAAATGAGACAATCCCCTGACCTAAGAGCATGACGTGAGCATGTGTGTGTACCACGGCACCAGCAGCTTCCGGACATCAGAAAGATGAGGGACACATGGTGAAAGCTCTTGCTCATAGTCAAATAATGGCAAAACCAGTTCTAGGAGTGCCATAGGCCCAAAGTCCAGGGCTTGTCCCCAGTCCCTGCAGGAATGGCGCACACGACTGGGACACATGGTGCTAGGGGAACCAGCTTCCCAAGCAGGCTCCTGACTCCCAAGCAGGCTCTGGATCTGAGCAGGCAGCTGTGCCAAACACAGGTAAGGGGAGTGCTAAAGGACAGAAAGGGATCAAAGACCCAGGCTGAGCCCCAAGGCAGATAATCTGCCAGTGTGAATTCTTCTTTTACCCCATTTTGATTTTGATTACTCAGATGCAAACACCAGCATCAGTTTCAGAGCCTTTATAATACTAGTGTTTCTGCCATGTCGAGGATCCAGCATCCCTTCTTTAATTCCTTCCTGCAGTGAATTTCTTCAGCCTTCTCCAGCAGAGCCAAAGCCTGGTGCCTGCACTCCAGCAGTGGCCTATGCCCTCACCTTTCTCTGATACAGCTCCTCCGGGGTCGTGGAGCGCAGACTCACGAGGCGGTAGTTTTTCATAATGGTCCGAGGCCGTTTCCGTGGAGGTGCAAATCGCTCCATCTCTGTCACCAAGTAAAGGCCCTGCTTTATGTAACCGAAGTAGCGAGCTTTGGCGGACGCTTCGTGATCAGAGTCAGAATCCTCTTCTCCGTCATCTTCGTCTCCAGCTCTCAGCTCCAAACGAGAGCGTTTGGGGACAAGTTTTACCTCACACTGAAAAAGATGTGAAACTAACAGTGAGGAAGGAGCTAAAGTCAACTTTCCAGAGTTAATGAAAACAATATTTTTAATTCTACTCTGCTTTGATTTATGACATCCAATTCACACTGGAAACCAAAGGACCCTACAACAAACATTCACCACAGGATCCAGAAATGAATGTACTGCATTATCAGCTCCACATCTCCAAAACCAAAGCCTATTAATAACAGGTCATTGGCCAGGGATGTAGCTCAGTGGTGCAGCACCTGCCTGGCAAATGTGAGGCCCTGAGTTCAATTCCCGGCACACACACACACACACACACACACAAAACATTATTATTCTGGACAAATGAAGGAGCCAAGAATGTGAATGCGAATTTCTTTTACTTTCCACATTGATGTATTTGCTGCAGAAAAATAAGATGCTGTTTTTCACCTATTTAGAGAATGAACATGAAAGTATTTATCTGCTTTGCTAAGAACACCTCTTCCACATTCCCTTTTTAAAAGTCTAGCAGCTTCACAAAGTTCCCCAAGTCTGAATGCCTGACTGCTGAAGACAACTTTCTTTCCAAAATTAACAGAGCTGGCTGAGATTTTTAAGCCACAGTTCTCTTTAGACTCGGCAATGAATTCTGCAGTAAAAAACATTTGTCACCTTACATGGCTGAAGTAAAAGCCATTGAAGATTTTACTCTTGAAAGACTAGAATTTTAAATGACCAAAGCACAACCCTAAAACAACTCTATTTTCAAGTCTATTGTGACAATAAACAAGTTTTTTTTCCTACAAGAATGAAAAATTTCAAGGATCACAGTTTAGGGAAATAAGTTAAACATAAGGTAACCCTAATGATAGCACATACCCGCCTTTATTTTAAGATGACTAATCTAGGGGAAATCTACCATTTCAGTAAGAAGAATACTGTTTCTTCATTCTCTTACAATGCACTTTTTAAAATTCACTAAACAATGGAATTGTTCTTTTCATCTTGCTCAGAGATTTTTGTTTTGAAAGACAGAATCAGATCATGAGACAACTACAATAAGAAAGAAGCCAGGTATTTAGATTTGGGGTGAAATGCATGTTTACTCTCAAACAAGGAGAAAGCTTTACCTCCAAACTTAAAAATCCCCCATCATGGGTAGCTGTGACTTGGGGCGATGGTTCAAACCATTCACAGGATCTTCCGAGTAAATTCTTCAACGTTTTCACAGAGAAAATGGTGAGAGCACCAGAGCACCGAGCCAGAGTCACAGCACCGTCTGCCCACCAATTGACATCTATCAGCGGGTACAAGGACTCTTTATCTAAAGGGGGAAAAGGTCCGTGGTTTAAATACAACGTATTTCATATAATAATCAACTGAACGATCCAAATTCATCCTATTATTTGGGCCCTAAAGCTCCCTAAAATAATGAGAAGTATTAAAATTGAAGTCATCACTCAAATTTTTATTCAAGGAAGAGACACAAAATGGCACAGGAATTCACAGAAAGGACATCTATCTGAGTGCCGGCGATTAGTGAGTCAAAGTCCGAAGCTCTAGGGACACAGAGGTAAATAAAGTCCCTCTTCTCAAAAGAAAAAGACAAAAGAAAGAAAAAGTACATATTCGGGAAAGAGATGTGTCACCATTTTCAACTTAGTTAAAATTAGATGTGTATGAAGTATACGTACACAAAAGTTATAAAGGGCTTTAGAAACTGAGTATCTATCACCTTCAGACAAACACTGAGAGAACTATACCCTTTAAAAAAATAAAAGACAGATATATAATAGCTGCCAGGGCTGATTTCCTCCCAAACATTTAACTTTTTTAACTTACAGAGGGAAGCTACTCAAGGCCAATAAAGAATTTTTAGAGATTAAAATGAATTACAGTTCACCAAACTGAAAAATTCAATGGGAAATGTTATGATATTTATTATAATTTTACCGCACTTTTTTAAACCTTAGCTGTCCCACAAAGGGTATGTAATGGTTTACAGGAAACACATATAATAATAAGCCATTAATTTAAAAATATATTTAAACTAAGGAGAAAGATATTTTTGCACCGGAGCACAGTACCATGAAAATAACTCATTATTTTAATAAAAAGAAAGACCATAATGCCATTTTCTTAGAAAAGAAGCCACAGACAATTCATATAAATAAGGAATTTCAAGAACACGTGAATTCTCTTGGGGCTTATAGTCCCCCAAAGTAGGAAGGAAGAAGAGAGTCATTTAAATCACATTTGAGGGCCGGGGATTTAGCTCAGCGGTTTTGCCCAAGCGCAAGGACCTGAGTTTGATCCCCAGTACCAAAATCAATCAATCAATCAATCAATCAATCAATCACATTTGAGCTTCTAGTTTGAGAAATCATTAGTTTTCCTCAAAAGTGTTTCTGAATATTTTAGATGATCTTTCTTTTATTTTTTCCGGTACCAGGGATCAAACTCAAGACCTTGTGCTTGCCAGGTAGGCATGATGCCACCTAGCTACATCCCCGACCTCTGGATGATCATTTAACAATAGCAGATAATTCAAAGCATGGAACTTGATACACATGTCAGTAATCAATATTGTTAGTGCTTTTTAAATGTAAATTTTAAAAGTACAGTATAGGTTTTGAAATTTGTGAATGCCACTGATCTCATAGGAGACATTTAAAAACTCAGGAAAATTTAATTTTCATCTAAAATAATTTGATCCTGGGGCTGGAGGTATGGCTCAACAGTAGAGATTTCCTAGCATGCACAAGGGCTTGGATTTGATCCCTAGCACCAAAGGGGTAAGAGAACAGAAGAGAAACAAAAAAAGAAAAATGATCCTTAGTCAAAAATTTTAAAAACTCAGTGACCCTTTGTAATCCTTACATTTTTTAATTTATTGGTTTTATCTAATTAAATAACAATTACTTTATTTAAATATAAATATTTTCCTATTTATAAAAATAAAATGAGTGCATTTTAAAAGTAAATTACTTTATTTTTAAATACAAATGTATTTTTAAAAAGCCCACCCACCAGCCTAACCCTAATCTCCTCCTACCCAGAGAGAACTGCAGTGGTTCTCCTGTGATGACTCTCTTGCAGCTAGCTCTCCTGGACATGAGCCCTGAGTTCTGAACTCTGTAAGCCAACTCAGTGCTGGCCTGAAAAAGGGGAGCCGGGTCTGCCTCAGCCTCAGAAAGCTCTAATGTCAGAACCTTGGCTCTATTCCTTGTTCTGGTCCTGTGAACAATAAGTGCTTCTTCCAAAGTGAGGCAAAAGTACCTGTAAACTTTTTGTATCATCTAAAGAACACCTTGCATAATAAGAGGAGTCCCTTAAGATTTTAATGATCATACAACTCACCTTTTATTTTTTTTCTCTTCTCAGCAGAGAGCCTCCAATCAGGATTAAGGTCATCGTAGCCTGGCTAAATATGAAAATTTGGGTCAGCTAAGTAAGAAAATTGTGACAAAATCATCAAGAGCTATGTAATTTTTTAAATAATAAGACATGGAGATGATACATTTCCTATGATCTCTACCTTACAACTAACTGAAATTTTCACTATACCACTATGGAAAATCAACTGTTTCTACACTTAAAATTTTCATGGAGCAGGGATTATGACTCAATTTTAGGAAGGAAATAGAATGCATAAGAACAATAAGTTCACAAGTATACAATTAATACAAATGAAAGCCAGTCACAGGAAGAATTCATTCTACACATACACACACCCTGACACACCAGCAGAAGGCAGCTATGCTGCTACGAATCAGCACTGGCCTATGCACACCAAGTTCTGCCCCAGGTAGCAACCCCTGCATACCCTGGCATGCATTTATATTCTAATCTTGTGACAGCATAGGGTTATAGTCACCTTTAAGAAAAACAAGGCTATGACAATATCTCCCCAATTTTGTAAAGCATTGAGATTAAACCATTGCCAGACACCCTCTGGACTTAATGGTACTCACTTAATCTCCAGAACTGCAATAGTATGAGAAAAGATCACTTAAAAAATCATTTGGCTATTTAGTTGAAATCTTAAATCTAAAGAAAATAAAACAAAACCAAAAAACAGCAAAACAGTGTCACCAACAGGGTAACTGTACTTTACAACAATGCATTACTTATTTCATTAAGAACTACAAGAGAGGAATTCAAAAGTTCTCAACACAAACAAGCGACAAATATTCAGGGAGAAGGGGTATGCTAATCGCCCAAATTCAGTCATTATACATTGTACACGTGTACTGAAGTACCACATTGTACCCTACACATACATACAGTTATTGTCAACTAAAAATATTTTACATATTATAAAAAGAAATGCATTTTAAACAAAATGTACTTTGTCATCTAATGCAACAAAGTGTACCTATTTAATTATCAATTTATTAGTGGCTCGTGATTTAGAACATTAAAAAGCCTATTTCTTCCCATAGGCTAAAAGAACTTCCTGTCATCGCTACTGCGCATCACTGAGTGCTGTCCCGGAGATCAGAAGACATAATTTTTAAACTTTACCAGGAAAACAGCTACAACAAAAGGCAATTTTTCTGCCAAGGGAAGAAATGAGGCATTACAGTTTCCTTAAACACCAAAAAAGATGATTAAGTTTCCAAGAATTAGAATCCAATAAGGTACATGTTACAGAAAACAATCAACTAATCTGGTATCTTTAGTGATCTTTTTCGGGGCTCTTTCGAATTAATTTTCTGAGGTCTCCAACCCACCCTGCAAGGACCGTACAAGTTTGTGATGCCCAGGGCACCTCCTACTTCCATTCTAGAGCACACAGGGCAGTGTAGATAAAACCCTGTGCTTGACTCTTAGACTAGGCCCTGTGTAAGGACAGACAGATTATAATGAAATTTCACAAGGGTTGTTCCTGAGAAACAAGCTACAGAATAACCATCTCATCTACAGGTCTCACTAGCTGTCTTCATCAGTCAGCGGGAGCCCCCCTGTCACTCCTCAGCATTTGCCAGGGTTTGGAACAGGATACATGGAGTGTGGCAGTCTGGCAGGCTCAGGTCTTTGAACTGAAGGCCACTGAGGAGGGCTCGGGAGCAGGGTCTTTCCGGCCTCTGTCCTTATCTCCAGCACCTCACTCTCCCTGCAGGAGTCCCAGGAAGCTGACTCCGCTGGCCCAGGGCCACAGAAAGCAGAAGTCCTGTCCTCTGGAGCATGCCAGGAACCCTCAGAAGGCGACGCTCCCCCTCATCCCTTGAGGATCACAGGGGGCGAGCCAGGTAGGGAGTTCCGGACAGCCCAGCAGACTGGACGGACAGCCTGCAGGTGCCTCTTCCACCATGCTTCTCACCTGATCGCCTTCTTACACACTGGCCCTGCGTCACCAAACCTAGACACAAACGCACGCGGCTCTGCCTGGGTCTCTGGGTCTTCACTTCTGCATCTCTGGTATCACCTGAAACTGTAGCTGAAGGACTTGTACTCTCTGCTCAATCACCTGTCCTCTGCTATGGGAACGTCCACAGTGGCCCACCCTGCCCCAACAGTTTCCGCTCCGCAACATGAGAGAGCTGAGGCACTGACTTCCTCCACAGCCTGCAGGGACACCTGGACACACACCAAGAGGCTGGCATGGAGAGGGAGGAGCGTTCTGTGCAGGTGTTGGCTCTCCTGGCTGGCTGTCTGGAGTGCCCACCTGGTGCAGAAAGTAAATTTTCCAAATTCAGGTGAGCAGGAGACCAGGAGAAAAATCGTCTGTTACTAAACAAACGTGTCACGCTTTTCTCTCTTGTAAGAGGTGTGTCCTGACCCTTAGGTAAACAGTGAGGAAAGAAATCACACTTCCTGCCCCAACATATCCCAGCCTCCATATGTCTGCAAGGAGCCAAAGACACCAAAGCTGCTGCCCCGTGTAGCAGTACTGAGAGGACGACGTGCTGCTCCATGTGCACTCTGTACGGGACAATGAGGGCTGAGCACTGTTTGCTTCTGACCAAAAAGCTAGATTTGCTGGGTGTTTTTAACCACCAGAATCCAGACATAATGAAGTCCCTGCTGCCAACACTCAAAACCAGCATTTCACGTGCTTCTTCATTCCACGAATACTTATTAGTGCTTAATGTGTTACTCCCACAGAGCCTATCGATACGATGCATTCTGCACCAATTCTCCAAGAGCTCACAGTTAACCAAGCTGTGAAGACAGCTGTGGATTCTGTCAAGATGAGCCGCATAAACTGCCATTTTCCCACTTAGCCTTCACTGATTCGCCCTCTTAGCAGAGTTAGCCTAACACCTTTTATATGTAAAGAGAAAAGAAGAACAGGAAAGATAAGTACAAAGAGGCAAGTAAGAAACTTCTCCAGAGAAAAATGAAGGCCAACTATGAAATGCAAAGATACAAACATATGGGAAATGTGTGAAATAAAAACCATTTAAGCCATTTTATTCTATTCCAGACATGAACAAAATTTAATACTCACAGATTTCTAGCCAGATGGGTTTTCACACTGACAACAAAAGCCGAGGTACTTAGTCAACCCCAAACTGGATGGGAGTAAATCAGGCTAGGCACCTCCATAGCCATCTCTAATCATTAGGGTTTACAGAGGAAATGCTCAGTCACTCAAAGCATGTTATAAAAACTGATAAAGCCACAAACTACCCCAAGAACGCTCTGAATGAGCGGGATTTGCCATCCCAGCAGAGTGTGAGGTCCTCCATCGGCTCCTTCCCAGGCTCCTTCACAGGTTCGAACCCGACGAGGTTCCAAACGCATCACCACAGTGGAGACGCAGAGCTCGGAGCCCCGCCCGAGCCCCTCGATCCCTGGGGGAAAGACAAAGCTGCAGCTGTCTCAGGGTTTTTCAGAGCCTGGGTTCATCTTTAAAGGAACTCAGTGATGAGTTCAGGCACAGGCACCTGTGGCTCTGGTAAGCATCAACGTGACACTGCCCACGTATCCCTGCACATCTGCACACCTCTGGGCCCCCTGTGCAATGAGCCACCTGAGCCAGAGGCTGTCACTCAACAGACTTCAAGATAACACCCTTCCCTTCCACTATACTCATCTCAGACACTGGGACCTCAGTTACCAGATAGAAGTCGGGACTGAAGGTAGAAAGTGTGTAATACTGGAACAACGGCTCAGCTTACGAAGCCAGAAAATCTGAATGAAAATGGAATCTTGAGCCAGGAGTGGCGGCACACATCTATAATCCTTGCTCTCTGGGAGGCTGAGGCAGGAGGATCTAAAGTTCAAGCCTGGGGGGCCGGGGATTTAGCTCAGTGGTTCCGCTGTCTGCCTCACAAGCACAAGGACCCGAGTTCGATTCCCAGTACCAGAAAAAACAAACAAAAAACAAACAAACAAACAAATAAAGTTCAAGCCCAGCCTGGGGAACTTAGCAAGACAGTTATCTTTTTACAATATTAGCAGGTTATTTTAATCTTTTGTTTATCATTTTCCTTTCAAGATTATCAATATTTTAAGGGCAAGAACTGAGAACTTACCATACTTCCTGCTCCAGAACTTAGTAGAGTTTCAATAAGTAGTTGAATTTTATTATTTTACAATTACAGTTAAGTCCCCAACTTACAGATGAGTTCTGTTCCGGAAGAACATTCATAAGTCAGATTCATTTGCAAGTCTGAAAAAATGAGTCTTATACACCTTTGACACAAATTACAAACAGTTGAGTTGTGAACTTTCACAATGAAAAGCACAAAAAAACCAACAGTAAGGTCCATTCATATCTCTGGAAGTTCACAACCTGAATGTTCCTAAGTCGGGGACTTACTATATGTTACCATACATAGAGGAACAACCTGCTCTATTTCATAGAACAGTTATATATGTTTTACTGCACTTTCTACAGGATGGAGGATCTTACTAACACATACACTAAAGTCCAGTCTAAAACACTCAACTGAATGTGACTGATTCCCAGGTACAGCTGGAGGTCTCAGGGTGCAGCTGTCCACGCTCCCCTGCTGGGCCCCACGGCCACTGACTCACAAGGGTCCTGTACTCTACTCTAAGTGTCAGGCTTACAGAGCACAGCTTCTCAAGTCCACTCTGGCACCGGGTACACACTATGTAGGTCAAGAGCTGCACACATCTGCCGGGGCTGAAGAAATCTGTACTGCACCTGCTAAGAAGCAGGGTTTATCACTGTGCTTTTACAGACCATCATAGACAAAAGAAGCCTTGTAAAAATGAATAATCAAAACATAATTCCTAACCTACTGCACACAAATCTGATCTTTCAAATGAAAGAACGTTCCTAAACTCAGGACATGCCAAACATCAAGGGATACGAGCGTGGGCTGGATACGCTGGCGTTCCACTCGCCTAACGAAGCTTTCTTCCACCTGTCTCTATGTATTTATTTTTTCACATGCTCATGGGAAGGGCACAGACATCGGAATCAGAGAGATATGAAATCCAAGTTCGGCTCACTGCTTTCTCCCTGCGTAACCCAGAACAAAGCAAGCGCTCGTTAAGGAACAAGAGATGCCGATAGGAGAGCACACTTTGTATGCTGCCGGAGAACCTCCTGTCCGCGATGCACCTCCATCCACTAAGTTGTGCAGGACTTGATAAGCGTTATGGAGGGAGCTGGTGCACATGTGGAGGCCAAGCCTCACGGGTGTGTTTATGATGAATCGCAGCTTCAAGAGCACAGGAGAGAGAGTCTGACAAAAGCGGAGCACAGGAGAGGGGCTTGAGGGGGAATGGAAGCTGCACAGGGTCCAGAGCAGGAGATGGCACAGGCGCTGGTGCTGCAACCTCTATATAGCCTTGGGATTTTAAAGGAAAAACTGGATAAAAATAAACACCTTCCATGTTCCCAACTTTCGACTAAAATTTCTTTTGAGGCCAGAACTGGCTGGGGTGTGAGGCAGCAGTGGGCACAGCCACCACGGCCTGGGACATGTCCTTGGTGATGCCAACCAAGCTTTCCATTCCACGAACCCAAGAACCTGTGTTTTCCAGGTGACTCAGGCACTCAAGGGAAACCATTCATAGCAACCAAATCAAGAGAAGCTCCTGTGTAACTGGGAAGACTTACGTAAGAGCCACCACCAGCCTGGGAACCAAGTTGCCTCCCCTATCCGACAGACCTGGAACCCAAGGACCGTCAGGGAGTGTGGGATCGGCCACGGGGGAGGCAGTTCGGCGGCCAGGCGGCAGCAGCACCAACTGCTCTGCCCCCCCAGAGCCCGAGGTGCTTCTGTGCGGAGGACGGCCACTGAGGCACACGGACACACCTCTACCCTGCGCTCGCCCCTCCTGCAGGGCCTCTTCTTCTGCTTCTAAAATCCCTGCCTTTCCTGCCGTTTCTTTTCTGACTGTGTATTTAAAACCCCTGACAAAATCTAATTTATTCATTCCCAGGTTTCAAGGTTTTCAAACAGTTTTTATGATTTTTTGAATAGAACAACTATAAAAATTTAATCAATGAATGATATTAAAGAGAAATAAATCACAATGGCACCACATAAAACTAATGACAAAGAAAAAGACGTTTAATCAGTAAAAAAAAAAAAAAAAGCTGAGTGAGCGCCCATGGGGACCAAAACAAGATGCAATTTATCTTTGCAAGTGAACAAGGGTCCCCAGAATCCCAGCAAACAATAGCACGTGCTAATCAATTTCATTATGGATAGCTCTCCCACGACAGGCACAATATCCTAGGACATTCACAAGATGCAATCTGCAGAGTCCCTCAGAAGTTGATCAATACTTCGTTTAGGTGAAGGAAAATAATTTAAGAAAACAGAAGGGGGAGCAGGAAGAAATGCTCTTATTATTCAGTTCCACCATCTGAAAACATGCTGCCCAAATGGAAAAGTTCCCAAATACAGACAGAACAGCACCATCCTTCCACACTGTCACACCGTGCTAACCAAGAAAAATACATAGTATTTTGGAGCAATTATCTGAATAATGCCTTTTGTCTGAATATGGATCCAAAGCACAGCTCATGCCTTAGGAAGCATGAGTAATGTGAAGTAGAGAAACAGATGCCCTGAGTGTAGCCCAACCGCCTCCCCAACAGGGGCCTCAACAGCCAAGGGTGCTGAGCAGTTCTGAGAAGCGACCACCCCTGCAGAGGACATCAGTTGCCTCCATTGCGACTCCAGAGCAGAGGGGATGCACCTCATTTGTGGCTGGCAAGGCTGCAGCCTGGGAGCACCTCTTCCACTTAAATTCAGCTCCAGTGAGTGAGAGAGATGTAGATACAGGGAGTCGCATCAAACTGGAGGTGACTGGGAATAAGCAGTGTCATGGCTTGTGTCTAGAGGTCCCCCCTAAAGTCTCATATGGTCATAGGTGGTAAGTTTCAAAGGAGGCTGGATTAGGGACTATGAATGTGGATTAAGGGTGTAATGCTGGGATGAAGGGTGCCCCACTCTGGGCGTGGGTGACACCAATCAATAGATGTGTAGCCTGGATGGAGTATAAAGAGAAGCTTGCTGCTGCTGCTGCTGCTTGCTGCCTTCTGCCTGCCCCATCACACCATGGACTGTTTCTCCTCTATGACTCCCCTCTGCCATGCCATCCTGCCTTAGAACCAGCCAATTGTGAACTGAAACCTCTACAAATTATGAGCTAAAATAAACCCCTCCTCCTTTAACCCTGGGTGTTGGGCATTTTGTCTCAGCAATGAGAAAAGTAACTAAAATGGGGAAATCTCCTAAAAGCTGCACATATTAAAATAACAATACCTAAAAAATCAATTTACACACGTGAATAGGGTCAGAAAATGTAGAGCCACTTTCTCTATTTCTCTACCTTTTGCTTAATTGTTTCTTGCTTAATAATATTTCTCTTTATTACAGCACCAACCCATTTCAGTCATCCAGGAAGCCTGATCCAATATTAGATCACGAAGTTACCCACTATGCTGTATCTGCACACAAGGAAGCATGGGTGAGGGGACAGAATTCATCCTCATGTGTACAAACCCAAACTAATCATGAAACAGAAAAAGACGGGCACCACCAGCTCCGCCGAGGTGAGGGAAGCTTTTGTTGCAATTTTAACACCTCCATTCTGCATGTTTAGAATGTCAAAGAGCAAAAGGAAATGCGTGCAATGGACAGAACACACTTGGTATGCAGCATGTGCTGCACTACAAATTAGAACCGGTACTCAGGACATGACTGTTCTTCATCATCCTGCTGTGCTATCAACCGACACTATGACGTCACTGAGGAACGTGACAGCCGTGAGCCACAGCCTGCAGCACCACACTGAGCAGGCCTCACCATCACCGGCCCTGGGACCCACCTGCTCGCTCTGCTCCCATACGCGCAGCTGCCTGAGGGACGGCACAGCCCAGACGCTCAGCTTCCCCGAGAAGTGGATGGCTGCAAGCAGGTTCCCATCTGGAGAGAGGCTCATCTTGAAGATCCCATCCTGTGCAAGAACCACAAGGTCAGATCACAGGCTTTCGGACAAGCAGAAACGACCCCAGAATTACCAGACACTCCCCAGGTGCCATGTTATATGCAGTCTTAATGATCGGGGTTCTGTGCCCACCACTGCACTATGAATGTGCTCCGGCACACATGAACTCAAGGCCTTTGTTGTCTACTTTATAGTGTCATAATTTATGTGCAATACTAAACCAAAAGTATACAATTCACACGTAAATTGTCAGGAGTTCTCAATAGGGTTGGTCTTTACTAGCTTGTGAATTCCATGAAATAAGGGCCCACACTAACAAGGGATGGTTAAGGGGTACAGTGTCTTTTTCGGGTGACAAAGTTGTAACTGAAATTAACTATTGGGATGGTTGCACAATTCTGTGAATATACTAGGTACCAGTAAATTGTATACTTTAAACAAGTGAACTGTACTCTATGAATATTTCAATAAAGTTGCTCTCCAAAAAGTCATTAAACTGCACATTTGCTTAATGTGATTTCCTGTATCCTCTACTTACATTAACCCACTACCTCGAATGTCCAAATGATCTTTTCTTAATTAAAAACACTAATTAAAGCCTCTGCAATTGGCAGCAATATTTAGAGTAGGAATTGTACCTTCTTTCAAATATTGTTATATAATTTCTATCTGTACTGACAGGGTTTTTAATGTTAAATGCCACATCTTTTGTATAAGAGTAGCTTAAATTGCCTCACTTTTTTAATTACCTATCATCTCTATGAAACAATTAAAATGACTAATCTATTTCCCATATCTTCCAAATATACAAGATATGTTAAAATGAAAGTAAAAATTCTAGTGTATATATTCAAAGCATCCTGAATTACTACATATTCTTAAAGAAAGAAACTTCAGATCAATAAGAAATAATTTTATAAGTTTGATTCTTCCAACATTCCACAAGCACTTAATGAATATTACATATTCACTAATAAATATCACACACCAGACACTTCCACAAGCAGAAGAATCAACAGTGGACACACATAACTCCCTAACTTCACAGAGTTCAGTGAATATTTTAGCCCACTGAGAGTTGACAGGTCTCCCACTACCTCAGCAACTATTATGTATAGTAGCTGCCCTCTTCCTATCATGCCTTGCCCCCTCCCCTGTGTGACATCATGACAAGATGGTTGCTCCCACCAAAGAATAAACCCTTCTTCCCAGCATCCCCCTGTTCCCGCCTAGAAAGTAACCTAATACTCGCTCACCTCCTACCACCTAGTGACATCACCGGCTCCTCCATTCCCTAGTCACTACCTCACTCAACCCCGCCTCAGCCCCTACAAACCCCACCCCATTCTCTATAAAAGACTCTCCCTGCCCCGCCCATATTGCTTTTGTCTCTCCTTTGTTCAGAGACAGCCCAGCAGATCTATTCCCCTAATAAAGGCTTGTTGTGGCCTGGTCTGCCGTCTTGGTTTTCGGCCCTTTTACCTGACAGTTACATGTAAGATAATGTGCATAACATTCACGTCTTTACTGTGTTCCAGAAATCTTGGAAAGAAATGCACAGAGACACAGAATTCAGATAAAATAATAAAATTTCTACTTGCAAGTGGGCGGGACCACCAGAAACTGATCTGGTTAATATCTGAACCCCCCTTTGTTCAGTGTTTCCCTTTTTGTATCCTTTTTAGCCATTATCTCATCCTGAGTGGTCTTTGATGTGCAAATACAATTCCAGTTCCCATTTACAAGTCATAGACACAAGATAGGCACATATACATTGTAAATTCACCAAGCCATTGCAAATTTGTTAGGTTAATGAAGTTACTGGTTAAAGAGTCAGATAACCGTCACCTTAAACAAGGAGTTATGGGAAAAGCAAATCTTAAAGGAACACATTACATATTTCGCTTCTACCACTACCTTAATATTCAATCTACTAAGTTATCTAAAACTTTTTCCTATCAACTGGGAAGCACTGGTTTTAGAGCACTAAACTCAAAAGGTCTTTTCAAAAAGCCCAAAGACTTACGATTCTAGTACAGCACTTCGTGGAGGAGGATCAAATACAAGGACGTGAATTCCTTGCTTCCCCTGCTTCCGCTCAGTCACAGAGGACCCTGACGGTGAGCGAAGGAACCGAGAGCCACCCAAGAGAAGAGCCAGCAACAGGGTCCAGGCAACTGGCCTTCGGGAGCTCGGAGGGGAAGAACAAAGGCTGGTGCCCTTGATACCGGTAAGAGGATCTCCACTGCCTATTCATATGCCAAACGCACAATCAAGCACATCTCTGCTAAGTACCAGATGGGACACAGAGAAGAATAGAAAACAGCAACCCACAAATAATTCCCGTTCTGAATATCACTGTAACTATGTTGATCCAGATAAAATAAGCACGGAAAACCAAAAGCAAGCACCTAAGGGTCGATACCCCAGCAAAGGCATACCAAGGACACTCTTCGTATCACGTATCACTGTAACCATAGCTGTGTTCCCTCCTGTAGGGGACTCCGCCTCACTTCCGGCTCCCAGCCAGGTGTCACCCGACAAGTGAGGGTCCCCTCTGCTGCATGCCAATGACTTGTGATTTACAGCAGAGGACGAGCACAAAGTGTAACGTGGCCCTCGGCCCTCGAGGCCTATTCTACCACACTGCAGGCGCCTGAGGAAGTACACTGTAACTATTCATCTATCTATGCTCAGCCTAACCCCACCCGACTCAAAGTGAGGGCTTACTCAGTAAGTGAATATTGTTGGGCGTAGGGCCACTCGCCTGTAATCCTGGCACTCAGGAGGCTGAGGCATGAGGGTTGCTGAGAGGTCAAGGACAGCCTGGGCTACAAACGAGTTCAAGGCCAGCCTGAACTACATAGGGACATCCTGTCTCAAAAACAAACAAAAAAGAACTAACACTGAAATGCCACATTCTCGCTTAACTATGCTCAACAGAGTTTCTAAAATATGAACCCTCTAAACACTGTTAAAGATAAAGCACTTTATTTCAATATTAAGGAGAATGGCAAAGGGAAAAGGGTCCAGGGCCCAGGCAAGTCACGGTTCCAAGTGCCGATATGGGGACAGAAGGAAACCACAGAGGAAAAGGGCAAGTAAGAACAAACGCCAAGGCGGGCTGAGTTGCTCAGTCCTGCCCATTTCTTCAACTGCAACGAGGACAATGACAGATCTCCCTCCAGTTTAGGGTGGCTGCTGTATACAATAGCTGCCTTCTTCCCAACATGCCCCTACTCCCACCGAAAGAGTAACCTGAAGCTTGCTCTCCTCCCGGCAACTAGTGACGTCACCGGCTCCTCCAGTCCCTAGCCACACCTCACTCAACCCCGCCTCAGCTCCTATGAGCCCCGCCCCTGCTCCTATACAAGGCACTCGCTGCCCCGCCACGTTGCTTTTGTCTCTCCTTTGTTCGGAGACAGCCCGGCAGGTCTGTTCCCCTAATAAAGGCTTGTTGTGGCCTGGTCTGGTCTTGGTTTTCTGCCCTTTTACCTGACAGACAAGCCCATGACATAGCCACAGAGAACACAGCCTGAGGACAGGTATATAGCCAAAGTGAACGAGGAAGAGTGTGCTACCTGCCCAGCACCACAGACAGAATGGCAGACCTCTCCAGAACATGTGATCAGCTGAAGCCAGTGGCAGAGGCAGGCTCTGAGCTTAACGTGGAAAACACACATATGACATGTGCACACAGCGGCAGCGTGCATACTGAGTATGTCCCCTTGGCTCAGTAAAGGCAGCGAGGAGACAGAGAAATCAGGCCATGTGACTCCGCCCAAGACAGGGATGGGAGGCGATTCTCCCAGGGGGGTCTACAGTTCCTGAGAGGCCCAAGAGAGCTCTGGGAGAGGCCACCCTAGCCTGTCACTGGTGCTCAGAAGGAAGCTGCCGCCTCCCTAGCTAGGTCACACAAAGGTAAGACAATGGCACCTGAAACCCTGGTCAACAGGGCTCCCTTCCTCCTGGAGCACCGACAAGCTCACATTTCGGGAGGCTTTTATTGTTAATTTTAGAACGATTTATTATGGATGAAAAATTTATGTTTTTTAAGATAAAAAATACGAATGTCACATGACGCTTCTAGGAGAATTGTGATGGCTTGTGTCTAGATGTCCTCCCAAAGTCACATGCGGTCACACGTGGGGCTTTTTCAGAGGCAGTTGGAACAAGAGTGTGTGACACTGGAATTGATTCATGGTGCAATGCTGGACTCAAGGGCGCTAGGATTAAGGGGGTGAGTGCTGCCTGCCCTAAGTAGTCTACATAAGATAAAAGGGGCAGAAAGAGGCTGCTAAGGTCTCTTGTTGCTTTTGCTATCTTCTGTGTGCAATGAACTGTTCTCCTCTGTGATGCCCCTCTGCCATAGGCCACTCTGCCTTGGAGCCAGCCTACGGACTGAAACCTCTACAAACTGTGAGCTAAATAAACCCTTCGTTCTTTAACTCTGGTTAGCAGGTATTTTCTCAGCAGTGAGAAAAGTTAACTAAGACAAGAATTCTTCAGGCTGTATCTTCAGACCATAAGAGGACTAGTTTTTATTTTCTACATTTTTTCTTTGTATTTTTTGAGTTAGGACTGACAGACATTAACATTCACAAATGTTCAGTAAACAGCTCTATAAATGCTTCCTAGTGCATATACTCGAGTTGTGCATAGTTACGGACACACCCAGGTGAAGATCTAAACCACTCAAGGTTCATGCAGATCTACCTGAGAAGGGATTCTGATGACGACGCCTGAGGACATGAGGTTAAGTGGATTGGCATTACCTGTTCTTGGCCCTGGTGGCTATAGAGCTTGGTGCTTAACATCCTCAGTAGTCCCAGTGTCTTTGGTGCCTACAAAACAAATGCACACCGTACAAAGAAAGATTAATGGAATGGATTCTTAGGTATAAGTCATTTTATCATGAAATGAAAACTACAGCAGATTTTTTTAAGGGGTTAAAAAAAAAATCACTAATAGTTGTAAGGGATCTTGGTGATACCGTTCTGTTTGGGAAAAAAATTCAAGTGTTACAATTGTACAAAATATATCCAAGATCAAACACCTTTGTCAAATCTGTAGATGGAAAGTCTAAGACAACTGACTCAAATTAGAACCAACTGTGATCCTTTCTCAACTGAGACCATCCCCAGCTACCATTTTGTTACCCAGCATCACCAGGGAATAACGCAGATCTTCCAATGGAAATTTCATTCAGTGAGAACTGATTCTATACTTTAGAAATCATCATTTAGAAACCAATATTTAAAGTAACTTAATAAAACATAACACTATTTTTGTGTTTCGATTTAATAAATATACTTACACAAGCAAGAAAACACGATGACAATAAGAAATGGAAAATAATCACTGTAGCAGATATAGAGAACTGTGACACTCCCACCTTAGTGCTGGAGAGATGGTAAAATGGTACAGCCACTGTGGAAAACTTTGGAAGCTCCTCAGAAAGTTAAGCACAAGATCATAATCTAGCAATTCCTTCCTAGGCCTATCCCAAGAGAACTGAAGTCAGGTACTCAAACAAATCTTCTAAGTGGATGTTCACAGCAATATTATTCACAATAGCCAAAAAATGAAAATAACTCAAATGTCTATTAACCAATGAATGAATAAAAAATATGCAGTCTATCCATACAAAGGAATATTAGTCAGCTATAAAAAGGAACAAAGTACTACTCCATGCTACACAACAGTTGAGCCTCAAAAGCATTATGGCAAGTCAAAATGCCAGACAGGAAAGAAACTGAAGAGGACATCAGAAATGGAAAGATGCTCCGTGTTTGAAAATGGAAAGACACCCCACGTTTTTGGATGAGTACAACCTAATATTGTTAAAACAGTCGATGTACAGATTCAATGCGATTCCTATTAAAATCCAACAACACTCTCCACAGGACAAAAAAGGAATCCTGAATTTCATGTGGAATCAGGAAAAACCCAGAACAGCCAAAGCAACCGTGAGCAAAAAGAGCAACACTGGAGGAGTCACTATTCTACTGGATGTCAAGCTCTACTCTTAAAGACCTAGTTAAAAAGAGCATGGCACTGGCACTAAAACAGGTGCAGACCAGTGAGACAGAAGAGAAGTCACAAAAACAAACCCAAGCTCCCACAGCCATTGGATTTTTGTAACAGGACCAAAAACATACACTGGCCACAAGACAGCCTCTTTAACAAAAGCTCTGAGAGAAGTAGGCAGCGCCATGAAGACTGAAGCGGGATTCCCCCTCTCCTGTCCTGTGCAAAGATCACATCAAAATACATCGAAACCCTAGACAGAAAGCAGAAACTCTGAGACTGTAGGACGACAACACAGGGAAGTACCTGAAGCCACAAGAACAGAAAAGACTTCCAAGAATCAACAAACAAACTACTTTAAATTAAAGGCCTCTACACAGCAAAGGAAGCAACTAACAGTGAAGAGACACCCACTGCATCAGGGAAAATCTTTACCAGCTACTCTTCTGCGAGAGGACTAATATCTAGAATATACAAAGAACTCAAAAAATTAACCCCCACAAAATAAGGAACCCAATAAAAAAGTAGGAAATTAACTGACTACATACTTCTCAAAAGAAGTTCAAATAGCCAAAAAGTATAGGAAAAATGTTCAACATCTCTAGTCATTAGGGAAATGCAAATTAAAATAACATTGAGATTCCATCTCATCGCAGACAGAATAGCCATCATCAAAAATACAAAAATAAACAACGAATGCTGGTGGGGATGCAGGGAAAATGAATTCTCTTGCACTGTTGGTGGGAGCATGACCTGGTACAACCACTGTGGAAATCAGCAAGGAGATCCTCAAAAGACGGAATGTAAAGTCACCCTCTGGACCCAGCTAGATCACCTGGGTATATTTCAGAAAAAATGAAGGACTTCGCATTACAGTGGTCCACACACTCCCACTTTCACAACAGCACAGTGCACAGTGGCTGAGTGGTGGGACTGGTCTCGATGCCCACCAACACAAGAGGAAAAACAGTATCGCATCATCTGCAGGAAAATGGATAAGAATGAGTCACATTAAGAGAAATCAGCCAGACTCAGAAAGTTAAATATCACATGTTTTTTATTAAATGAGGAACCTAAAACATGCATGAGTTGATGAATAAATAAATTGAGAGAGGGCAGGCGACCAGCGGGTAGACTTTCGGGACAGGAGAAGGGGATAAGCCAGAAGGGGGGAGGGACCATGAGAGGCGGGTAATGAAAATGAGATTAAGTTATGTTCATTGTATGAACCAGCTTCCCAAAACAAACTCTACAGCCATGTAATATTAACATGCACTAGCAAAACATGATGCAATTTTAAAACAAGAAAAAGCAGCAGTCTCAATAAAATAAAAAATTCATCTGAGTATGTGGAACAGGTTTGTAATCCCGAACATCGGGAGCCTGAGGCAGAAGGATCACAAGTTGGAGGCCAGCCTGGATGACTTATCGAGACCCTGTCTCAAAAATTAAAAATAAGAAAAAATTTTACAGAAGGAAGCTTCCCCGCCTCCATCCCAGGCTCCTAGGGCAGTGAAGCTCAGCCGGTCCCAGCACCCGGAAGGAAGCTCCCCCACTGCCATCCCAGGCTCCTACGGCCAAGGTGAGCCAGTCCCAGCACCGGGAAGGAAGCTCCCCCACTGCCATCCCAAGCTCCTAGGGCAGAGAAGGTGAGCTCCGTGGGTGCCAGAAGCACCCCACCCCCACCCCGTGGAAATGAGAAGACACATAAACAAGTCTCAAAAACAGACTTCCAGATCACCTCCAGCAACCCCAAAGGGAAATGAGATGGAACATTCTGATACTCAACCACCTG